AAATTGAGGGGGGATGATAGAATATATTTATGTATTGGGGTAATTATGTCATTTAGCCTTGCATTTTCTATATATATATATACAGTTTTCTAATGAGAAGAAACCACGATATTTTACTCTATTTCAGTTCCCACGGTTGGATAGTTAGATAATGATTAAACATCTTATATAGCCTTCCAATTAAAATCTTGGAGCAATCTTGAGGAGAAGAAAAATTGACAATATAATATCCCAGACCCACATCAATTACTTCAAATTCATCCTTTGTGCACTATTCCTTCAACAAATGTGAATGCAAAACATAGAAGTGAATAGATTTTTCGAGAAGTTTAATGATAACTATATTCTTCTAAGCGGCACAAAGTCTTTGCCAAATTGATTTGGGGATTTTAACTTTAGGAATCTTTGGCTTAGGGGTATTCACTCCATTTTTTACCATACGAGTGAGGGATTCAAGATTAAGATTGGCTGCCACTAATTCCTTATAGGTGACAAGCACAGGTTTAGTGGAAGCACTGCCGTCTATAAGTGTGTCCTTAAAGGATTTAATAGGTGGCTCCGGGGAAGGACTAGATTGGCTAGCCAGTGGTATCAAGTTAATTGGATCTAACCCAAAGGAGGCAAAAATGACTACTGGGATGTCCAGAGGTAGCAGCATTGGAGGAGGAAGGTTGGGGTATGTCGGGGGGGCTCAGCGAAATTGGGGAGAGAGATAGCCATAGATTATAAGGAAATATAGTCCATTTTTCTTTCAAGTTTCAAGACACATATGAAACTGTTAAAAAATCGCTATTTCCTATGATTCGGAAAGGGTAATGATACCAATTATCTGTTGGTCCGAGTGGAAGAAGCTCGGTTTCCCTTAAGCAAGATCTCGAGTTCGAATCTTATGAATGGAAAAACAGGTGCTGGGAGAGCTTTCCCCCATATGGGAATCGACCCGACTCGATTTTAGATTAGTTAGAGCCCAATGTGGTTTTTGAATACCGGGAAGTTAGTACCAAAAAAAAAAAGAAAAGATAATGATAAATTGGAAGAAACTTTCGGGACCAAAGCTTGCAACAATGTCATTTCATTTAAAATTTTAAAAAGTAAATTTTATATTTTTTAATAATCAATTCTTTTATATTTTTTTTACATTCATAGTATTATATATATCAATCTATTTAATAACATGATTTATATTTTATAGCATATAATTGATCTCAAATTTTAGTATTAAATTTTCATCCTTTGTATCAGTATTCATTTAGAAATTTTACTCTCTAGTATCTGCAAAAATATCAAAATACCCGTTACACTCTTTAAGTTTGACCTTAGATTTTCCTAAACTATAATATTGTAAACTTTAAGACCCTAAAGCCTATAGGTTTGAGTGTTTAATGCTAATTTAACAATTTTACGCGCCGTAATGGCTCCGTCACCCTCCATAAAAAATGCCATGTCACCTCTATACATAAGCAAATGTATTTTACACAAACATGTCACGTAAAGTTAAAGGCTTATTTATTGTGAAATTACCTTTTTTTTCCTTAATTTGTTTTCAAATTTTCAAATCCCACCGTTCCTCTCTCCAGTTAAAAATCTTAACTTTTCTTGCATTTTTTGACCATTTAATCCATAAAAATCACTTCCAAAACCAATAATAATAATAATAATAATAATAATAATAATAATAATAATAATAATAATAATAATAATAATAATAATAATATGCTCTAAATCATTACACTAACCATAAACTTCCAAACGAAAAATTAAACAAAAATAAAAGATAATAAAAAATACAAAAACCTAAATCTAGGTTTCTAGATCTTGGAACCCTTCTTCGTTTCCTTATTGCTTTAAATTTTGCTACAAAATTAAATTCATATCCCAAGTTCATTTTAACATTTATCTCCCCAATTGTAAGGTGTTTGTCCCATATTGTTTTTATATCCGTGAGTTAAGTGGTATATATAGGATTTTATGCAACTCCAAACTAATCCAAACTAATTGATTTTGAAGTTATGATGTGTATTATCTTTATATTATTTTACTATTGTTCAAGAAAAAAAAAACATTAATCAAAATATTTTCCAAACAAAAACACGAAGTAGATGCCGCTAACTTAGAATTCGAAACCCTTTGTTTCAAACATGACAAATTCTAAATGTAGTCTCCCTCAAAAAATAATACATAATTAAATTAATATTTTTACTAATTAAGTTAAATTAATATTTTAAAATATAATATTTAAAAATTTATGTCACTGTAACGTAGTTCAGTATAAAAAGTCTAAAAATAATTCAAAGGAAAGTACTTGTATCTATTAAAAAAATTTAAAAAAATTTTCTAACAAGGGAATAGATGAATTCTGTTCCATTGTTGTCGAACTACAACAGGACAGAGACTTAAAAGGACAATCCATCATAAAT